AGACAAAAAAATTTGATTCGAAATAAAAACTCAAAAGCACTAAGAAAATATGGTTTATAGTTGCCAGGTTGAATTGTGATAAATATAAGAACACACAAATGAAGTGGGGTTAACGAAAATAAAAGGGCAGTTACGAAACCTAGCCCTCATCAGGACAACTGAGATAAAAAATAATTATAAAAGAAGCAGGATCGTAAGGATGAGAAACAGAAGAGGAAGCCTACGAAAGATTTTGGCATGAAATCGTGGTAAAATTCGAAGACCGCATAAATATGGCGATACTATAGAAGAAAAACGATTTTGTTGATTCAAGCAAGAAAAAGGACAAAGCAGTTTGCGGAAGGAAATTAAAAAGCTTCAAGCAAAGCATCTGTACACTGCACTGTTTCCAAAATTATATTGAGTAAATAAAATTTACGAAAGCAATAGAATGCAGCAATTAGTGTTTATTTGAAATACAAATAAAGCTAAATAGGAAATCACATGAGTTCGACTACAATGAGGAATACGTAAAATTCAAAGTTAAAAGCATGTGAGGAATGTAGAAATTTGTTTAAGCACTTCAGGAAAGTTTAAAAGGGTCACAAAATCAAGCGTAAAGCACAGGTGCCAAGCTGGGATTATTTGAAGTCTTCTTGGTCTGGTAGAGGAAATGTTCTGAATTAGAAGAAACTTGGTCTAATGAATAAACTTGTCGCCAATCGACAGGACTTCGAGAATGACCGGGATAACCCCAAATTCCAAAAAGATCAAGGATATTGTTCCAAACACCACGGTTGTATGGGCTTGTATTTTTATTATGATCGAAATAAACTGCATAAGGGTAATGGCCATGCCCGACGTGAGCAAAATTATCGTCAGGTTTTGGGTGACTATCTGCTAGTCTGGAGTTAAACTCTGAATACCTCTCAGCATTCATACGCTCATTCGTGGTCATGTTGAGCCAGACCATTTGGTAAATATGCATGAAACAAAGTGTGCCTGTCCAGACGCCACATATTACAGCACTAATGGAGGATAGGAGAATCCATGGATCACAAGTAAGGATACGGCCAAGATTCAGTTCTGTTACATCTATGAGAGAACGTAAAATAGGTACATAACGATGTAAATAAAATATTGTAAAAAATGCTATATAGGATGAGAAGCCTTTAAGATAGTCTTTAAAAAATGTTCTCTTTGAAAACTCCATCTATCCCTAACGTATATATTTTCATTCTGCTAGAGACCATAATAACACCAATAAGATTAAAAATAAATGTGAGCCTGTGCAAGCAATCACTAAATCTCGTTTAAAAAGAGCATATGCCCACAAAAGTATACTAAATTTTAACAATCCAGTGTAGAGTACAAGACTTACCAGAATGTGAAGAACAACGGTTGGACACAGAGGGATTGATCAAATATGACCAGGAAGAACAGATGTAAGCAAAGGAACAAACCGAAACAGAGAGTAAATAAAGAATAAACCAGCCATGGTTTCTCGCTCCTACACAGTTATATACCCAAGGGCAATGGTGATCGAATCGAGCAACGCATCTGTCACAAGATGAACAATGCTTTGACCGCAGAGGCTTTCGTACTAAACAAGTGGTGCAGAAGCGTTCCAAAGGGTTAATGGAAGTAGGTAGCTTAAGAAAAGCTGAGGCTACTTTTTCACCAGATTTAGCCTGAGCTTCAATCAAAGCTAGCTTTTCTGCTTCAATGAGGCGAGATTCTTCTTCATCAACTAGTCGGATAATGGCAGTACGACAATCCTCTCGTGATTGAGCCACAAATCCTGGATCGCTTCTTGCTGTTATATAAAACGAGAGCCAAAATCCGAGGCAGGATGAAACAAAGAGGATATGAAGTAATATGTAGCTAGTAGAAAGGCTGGGCATAAGATGAAATACATATGTTAGCGTCAAAGCAATGGATATGGAAGTCGCCAAACTGAACAGAAGAGATATCTATAAAGAAAAGAATAGAATAGATGGAGTCAATAATATAAAATGAATAAGGCATATCTTACTTGGGATTTATGATCTCCAAATAAAGTAACAGTGCGACGGGCGATATGCAGAGCAAAAAAGAATGCAAAAATTTTGAGGAAA